TGTAATAGTTTCATCGTAAGCAACTATTTCAAGATTTCTGATTCTCATTTCTATAATTCTTTGTTTTTCTCTGGACACTTCTTCTCGCTCTCTGACCTTTTCTTCTAAACATTTGAATTGTGAACGTAATCCTTCGTTACTTTGCTCTAACTCCTTAATTTCTCGTTTCCAAATCTTTTAAGGATTTTTCTAAATTGTTATTTAAAACCATTTTTTTTATTTAAATTGTTTCGGATGGTCATTTTAAAGAGTTTTTGCAAATTCACCTCGGCCCTCGGTTTAAAATTTTTTCCTACTGTAATATTTTCCATAAATAAACTAGTCTTAAAAATGGATCTAATTAAGTTAAAAAAAGGTCACGAAATACTCGAGATTTTGGACGGCACCCAATTAACCCATTTAATGGTCTATCTGTCATACCCAAAGTTGCACAGAAAAAGATTGTCCTAATGAGCATAAATTCAATTATGGAAATGTGGACATTAAATGGCTAAACACTCCTATTTATTTTTAGGTATACGTTCATATGTGAGGATTGGATTCTATTTAAAAAGTGGAATCGATTAGCGATTAATTCGTTTATCGAGTTTCAATTTAAGATTCGATTTTTTAATCGATTTTATTTATGGCGCAGCGATTTTTTTTTTGATCAAAATTTAAACGCAAGACTTTCATCAAAAAATTTATGGTTAAAAATATATTATCAAAAAAAAAAAAAAAAAAAAAAAAATATTAAAATTATTTGAGTTTTTTTTTTGAATTTTTGGTTCTTACTTTTCAGGTTCGATTGCTTCTGACTGCAACGATCGAATGATCTTTTTAGTGTATTTTATTTTATTTTTTTTTTTTTTTTTTGCTTTTAGGTTCCTAAGTGCCGCTCACATTGGAATTAATTTGCTAGGGACTTTTATTGATTAAATTGGTTTTTATTTTTATTTTTATTTTATTTTTTACTTTTACTTTTATGCTTATTAAATCTCTCCTTTCGAGTTCGATTATTGCTTATTTCCATTGTGTCACTCGATTGATTACAGTAGGGTTTCTCGACTTTTTATTCGATTTTGATTTTGGTAGAATCG